TACATCCCCACTGTATAGAATTTTTCATATCTTCACAACATATTCTAGTTAATTTTCTTGATTTTTCCATTAATTGTCTTTGTTGACATATACATGCAAATCTTTCAAATAAAAAATTTATTTTTGAACATAAAGTTCTAGGTATTCCAACATTGTCTTTAACATATTTTTCAAATTCTATTTTAAAATATATTCCCCACGAGTCTGGTAATTTATTATAGTACATATCTTAGTATATTTCTTGTTTTTTATTACTGTAGAATTGAACATAACAATAATTTCTAAATTCACAAGTATATTATTTAATTTTATACATATTGCATATTGTTAAATTTATTAGTTTAATTCTAGCGTTGTCTTTTTCTTTTATTTCTTCTCTTTCAGCATTTATTATCCAATTTTCTCATAAAAATTCATCTGAAATATATTCTACTAACTTTTCTATGCCTTTTCTATCTGATTTTATTATTTCTGTTTGTACATTTCTTTTTATTAATATTTTTTTATTATTACTTATTCATTCCCATTAATTTCTAACATCTCATTCAAAAGATGCTATTAATAAATCTATTTTTCTTTCAATATTTTTCCATGTGTCATTTTTATCATATAAAAATAATAATATCATTGAACTTGCCCAAGTTAATAAGGCTTTTTAGTATCTATTTTGTAATTTAAATCTAATTTTGTTACTCCATGGTTAATAGGTTTATCATAATTATCATTTAATTCAAATCTGTATCTATATTTATTTCCTTTAGGTGGTTGTCTATCTCTTACTTTATCATAAAATTGTCTATATGACTTATTATATATAGGTGCATAACTTTTATCTAAATATTGTAATTCTTGTTTAGATATTTCTATTGGATTAGGTCCTCTTACAGTATTCATTAAAATTTGTAATTCACTTATTTCACTTAAATTTAATTGATCAAAATTTTCTATTAGTAAATCTAATTTCTCATTCATCTTTATGTTCCTTTTCTTCTACTTTTAATTTTCCTAATATTTTTTTTCTAGATTCTTCTTCTTCTAATATTTTTGGTAATATATTCTTTCTAAATTCATCATCCATACTTCCTATTTTTATTACATATTCTCTTTCTCAATACGTTTCTTTCCTATTCGGATCATTTCTTTTTCCATTAATTTTTTATCTATTTTCTTTTCTTTATTTTTATTATTTTCTTTTATTTCTCTAATTTCAATTTTTAATATATTTATATCATTTCTTGTTTCTCTTACTTCATTTCTTAAGTCCTGTATATCATATATTAACATTTTTATTAATGATTTTAATTTTTCCATATATTCACTTATTGACATATTAATTTTTTCTAGTCATCTTTCTAACATATAAATCAATTTACATCTTTTATCTTCTTTTTTATTTATTATTATTCCAAATCTTCTATTAGCTAAATCTGTATTTACCAATTCTTTTTTTACTATATTAAAATATTTACTCTCAAATTTTAATCTTTCACATTTTAATTTTATTAATTGTCTTTTATTTGATACTCTTATTCCTTTTAGTATTAACATTATATCTTGTATTTTTTCCATTTTTATAAGTAACTTATTCAATTTCAAATTTGTATTATTATGTACACTCATACTTCTCTTTATAATATAAATTAATCTCTTCATCTTCGCATTCTTTAATAATTTTTTCATACTTATTTTTTCTAATATTTGTTCTTTTATTTCTTTAGGTAAATCTTTAACTATTGTTAATGTCGTTATTTTTAATTTATTAGAAATAGGTTTTAAAAATATATCACTCCCTCTTCCTTCTTCTAATTTATAATAATTATCTATTTTTCTTATTTTAATTTCCATTATCTCTATGACTCTGATACCAATTAGGGGGTGCTACTTAAAGCGAACAAAAATCAAATACATCTATATATAAAAAAAATCAAATAAATTTATAAGCAATAAATCTATCAAAAATCAAGTGATATTTAATTTTAAGGACTAAAATGCAGATTTCTACATTATATTAACTTATTATGCAATATTCAAAAGGAGGAGTATTTTAGGTATCTAAATTAGTCAAAGGTCATTTTGGAAAAATGGTCTCTTTGTTTAGGTCATTTTCATGTATTTCCCATCATACAAACTATAAGTACAAATTTATGGCATGTGTGGCATAACTTTTGCTTTTGTTTTTTATTTTCTATAGAAGAGATTTTGGAAAAAGCTATCTTAATTTTTGTTTGAAAACTAATTTTAAAAAAACTACATATTCCAGAAGTACCTTTAAAGAAAATTATATTTGATCAACTTCCTCTAAAAACTTTTCTAACTAGAAAAAACTTTTTCATAAAACTAGTCAAATTGATTCAAAAGCAATTTTTAAATCTCAAAAGTTCATTTTGACTTTTCAAAATGTGAATCATGATCGCTCCAAAGCAACACTCTTATCACTTTTGCATATCTAATAATACTATAGACTGTTTTATAGTTTTGCAAATAATTAACTAAAATTATTGAGTTCAATACCTTTTCTTTTTCAATATCATAATTTAAACAGCCACTCTTTAGATTACAAAAGAATTATATAAAATTTGTATTATTCATCCAATATCCGTGGAAACTAATCGAAGATATACTTATTCAAGACATGCAACTCAATTCTTGATCATTGAAATAACTGTCCAAGCAAAATTTATCATCATAAGTAGCGGATCCAAGAATTCAGGTGAGTACAGATGGCCATTCAACGACCGCTATAAGGAAAAAAATTGGTGGAACCAGCACGGGTGACAGTAAGAGCTTGCTGGGTATTAGCTCTGCCCTTGATCATCATCAACTGCTGAATGCGCCGAAATAATATACTTTTTCCAACAAATTAACAATGGCTCCATGAGCACAATTTTCCTATGCAAAAATGAGACTGGAAAATAACTTGATTCGAAGATTATATTGAGTTCTTCTATGGTCTGATTGGGATTTACATGAAAGTGTTATGGTAGGTACAGGAAAAGAACTTTTAACATCACTGGAAGGAGAAGAAGAACCACAGTGTTTTCCAATTTCGAATTGGTTACACTCAAAGGCTTTGCTCTCATGTCGAGATCAACTTTATAAGAATCATGGTACAAGCTTGTTAATAAGGAACTTGAAGTTCGGACTCTAAGAAATTTTGTAGAAATGCACAACAAGGCACCAGCTCTGGCTTAATGAATTGCAGAAATTGTCACAGTGTAGCCATTTATGTATTTTCACCACATACAAGTATCAAATGCTTTAGGATAAAAAAAAATAACAAATTGCAATATGTTTCCTTAGGCATTAGTGCGAGGACTAACAGATGACAGGTGAATCTAGAGAAAAACATCAATTGACTAATGATTAGAGATGTACATAAATTCAATATAAATAGATAAACAAAAAATAAAAATTTACTTCAATGACCAAAACAGTCCCCCACAAGGTTAAGTAAAGCCGTCGAGTCAAAGGCCACAATGTAACCCATAGGAAGGCTGAGCTCAAGAGTATGCAGCTGGGTCCATCAATGTATGAATGATTCTAGGGTTATATAAGGATGCTCAACTTTAACTAACTTGATAGTTGAATTCCAATCGGTTACCCTCTGTTACGTGTTCGCACACTTGGGCAACCCATCGGGGCCCACAGTCAACTCATGCCGAATCACATGGCACTCAATCCGAGGTGATTTGCATAGCCGAGGCCCAAAAATAGCTGTCCACAGATGCCTAGGCCCATATACACCGAGGCCCATTTATCATTGCACCATGATGAGTTTCCGAAACCCATATGCCGAGGCCCTTTGAAGGTGGACGACGACCTGTTTGCCGAAGCTCTGTAGCCGAGGTAACAGCCTCCGAAGCACAAACCAACTTCTTCCATAGACACCTCTCCCAAGAGATCTTCTGCACAAAGATCTTACTTGAATGATTGATAGGACGTTTGTCATGAGTTTAAATATTAAGTCTTGTCACTAATAGAGGCGGCTCTGCCAATCAATAAATGTATAACAGGCTAGGTGCGGCTGATGCCTACGATTTGACATGTAACTCAATCAGATGAGGCCACGTGTACCCCGAACCAAAGGTCACGATCTAACTAGTGACACTATAAATACTCCCCTACGTACCCCCATACAAAGGCTAATGCAAGAATCAATACAAAAAATCATAATTTACTCAACTCTCTCTTTCTTATTATCTTGCAACGTAAACAACTTCATACATATTTAGACACACATTAGCAAATACCGATTGGTAATTATTGTACAATCGGTTTACGATCATCTCACCGGATTTCGAACGTTCTCATCCCACGTCGTTGAGCTACTCCCACGTCCTTGATCTATCATTTTTAGACCGTCCACGTGTCTTGGCGTATTGTACTTTCGCTTACGTGAGCGCGGGTGGGTCTGGTTAGGGCTGCACAAAAAAATCGCAAAATCGCAAACTGAACCAAAGTCATTGGTTTGGGTCCACATGGACCTGCGGTTTTATTTTCTTCAAATCGAACCAAGCCGCTTTAAAATGGTTTGGTTTAGGTTTCAATTTTCAAAAACCGAAAAAAAACCGAACCGAACTTTTTTAATAAAAAAAATATTTTACTTAATGCATTTGGCTATTTTCAAGAATTTTTTCAAGAACAGCGGGTTACTCATTTTAATTACCATGCATTTGGCCCATGATAGGCTCGCCTAACCCGGCGGGTTTAAAGAAAACCGCTGTCCCATTTTATGTTAAAATTGGATGGGTCAATTAAGTTCAATAGAGTCCCAAAATTTCCAGATTTCTCACACAAGCTTAAAAACCCTTCTCAGCCGTCTCTTGCAATCCCATCCTACGAATCCAAAATCTTTCATTTCAAGTTGTGTTAGATAGAAGAAGAACATGTAAGTCTGAAATTTAAGTTTTATTTTGTGAATTTTTGTGCAATGAACTCGTTATATACCAAGAAAATGATGTTTTTTTTACACCAAAGTTGTTGGCTTTCTTGATAGATATATGGGTTTTGATTTCCAGTTGGTTTCTTGTTGGTTAAGCTTCTTTTCCTCAACCAAAATCCAAAATCAATATCTGCCTAAACTCATATTTCCCTTTAATTTCATGTTTGTTTCAAATCTGTTTTTCTTTCCAATTTGAGTGCATAATTAGTTTTATTGGTCAATTGAATCACCACATCCTTTTGCAGCTTGCTTTCATTTATGTATAGACTAAGTTTTTTAAGTCAAACAATTTGCATACGCATTTCTTGTTTCTGTGACATTGATCTTGATACTGCCCCCGGGAGGGTTATAGGTCTTTCTTGAGTATTTCTCAAACTTAGAATTGGCTTTTATGTTGGAATATTTATTAAACGGATGACATGAAGAAATACTGAGATCTTTTCGGAGAAGTTTGTAATTTCTTCCTTTCTGTTTACAAATAATTTAACTGCGAAAGTGGAATGAATAATTGATTCGACTATTATGTCTCAATTTTTAACAAGAATGCTCATTTATGTTCATTGCGAACATCACTCTACAGTTTTTGGAACTTCTGGCTATCTCTGTATAAATTCGACATCATTTTTTGAGGGAATTTCACCAGGGTAAATACTATGTTGTGCTCTTCATATTTCATTGACATTTATCACAGAAGAATCAGATGAAACAAGATCGAATTACAGTTTTATTGATTGAAAATTTGCTGTTTTAAATGCATATGGAACTCGATTTCTAAATTACAGATTCAAACTTCTCTTTCTAATCTATAGATAGAAAAATCTATAACAAATACTCGTCTAATTAACGCGTTTGCAATCAGCCCTGATTTCTCCACTGTTTCCAGTCAATGGACTTATATTTCCCATTTTAATCATGGACTGAACAAAAGCATCGAAAAATTCACTCTACAGTTTTCATTTAACTACTTTCTTGTTTCTTTTTGACAAGAGTGTATATCCTTTGTTTCTTTCATTTTTTCCTGTGAGAATCTAAGAAGGAATTCAATTCAGATTTTTGGTTATTTGATTGATAATTTTTTATTTCTTTTCTTTTTTTATCTCATAAACAAAATCTTTTTTTTTTTTTACAGATATGGATCCAATTCTAAAAGAAGCCGATGATGCAATTCCATTAGAGGATGACCCTGAAGATATGAAATTGGAAGGAAAATGCAAGAAGGGAAACAAAAGGTCCGAGGTGTAGGATCATTTTAAAATTCGAGGAGATGAGAAGGCAGAATGTAATTATTGTGGATAAACATATAAGCATCATGCAAAAAACTGCGGAACTAGTACATTGTGAAATCATATCATGCATTTGTGCAAGAAGTATCCATATAGAGTTCAAGACAAAAAGCAAAAGAAAATGACCGGTTATAACATGTTTAAAACCGAAGAGCTTTCTAAGGGTATTGATAGTCAAGAAGAACTTGCTAAGTTTGCTAAAAAAGAAGTTAAAGAATAGATTACAAGGTATTTCATATTGTCTGAGTTATTGTTTCGACATGTGAAGGATGAAGGTTTTCAGGGTTACACAAGGTATTTTTTCCCAAGATTTGTATTTCCTTCAAGGATGGCAGTAGCAAGAGATATATATAATTTGTTCCTAAATGAGAAGAAGAAATTGAAGAAAGAGTTGGGTCAACATAGAGTTTCTTTAACTACTGATTGTTGGACGTCAATACAGAATGTTAGTTATTTGTGTTTAACTGCTCATTGGATTGGTAATGATTGGAAACTTCAAAAAAGGATTATAAGTTTCATTCAAGTCCCAAGCCATAAAGGAGATACGGTGGGAAAGGAGTTGATTTTTTGTCTTAAAGACAAGGGAATCAATAAGATTTTTTGTGTAACTGTTGATAATGCCTCTTCGAATGATGTAGCATTATTGAGATTGAAGAGTTATTTTGAGGAGAAGAAGGACGGTCTAGTACCGGGTGGAGAAATGCTTCATATGAGGTGTTGTGATCATATACTCAATCTGATTGTTTGTGATGGCTTGAAAGAAATAAGCCATGCTATTTTAGCTATTCGTAATGTAGAGATTTGTTAGATCTTCCCCAAAACGACTAAAAAGGTTTAAGGAGAGTTGCAAGGAAGCTAATATTGAGTCTCAAGCTTTGTTGTGTTTGGATGTCACAACTAGATGGAATTCCACATACTTGATGTTGCAAGCTGCTACAAAGTTTAAAAAAACATTTGTTGGTTTGGAAAGTGATGGAAACTATACAAATTATTTTAATGACGAAAGGTCCGATGGAAGAAATATAAATGGACCACCAACACATGTCGAATGGGATCAAGTAGAAGTATTTGTTAGGTTCTTGAAGACTTTCTATAAAATGACTTTAAAATCTAGTGGCTCGAAGTATGTAACTTCTAACTCTTTCTTTCAAGAAATATTTGAAATTCATGTAGAGTTGAATGAATTAGCTAAAGAGCCTAACACTTTGATGGGATCCATGGCAATTAGTATGCGGAAAAAATATGATAAGTATTGGGGCCACGTTGAAAAGTTTAATCAGTTGTTGTTCATTGCAATAGTTCTTGACCCAAGATGCAAGTTGGAACTTCTTAAAGTCGGGTTCGAACTTATTTACGATGTAGAAATTGCAAAAATATTGTTAAAAAGATTTGAAGAGACACTCCACAGACTGTATGCATGCTATGAAGAAATGTCAACTCCAATCACTCCACCATCGGCTTCATCAAAGGAGGCTACCAAAAATAGTAGCTCAAGTCCTTCACAACCTGCTTTCGGTCTTTCTAAACAAATTCCTTCTATTTTTAAAGCTAAACTTATGCAAAACACGCAATCTGAGAAGAATGATTTGGTTGATTATTTGTCTGATCGTTGTGAAGATTTAATTGATCCCAAATTTGACGTATTAGTACGGTGGAAATTGAACGCGCACAAGTACAAGATTCTCTCTAAAATTGCCAAAGATGTATTAGCAATTCAAATATCCACGGTTGCTTTAGAGTCGACATTTTCCACGAGTGGTCGGATTCTTGACTCCTTTAGAAGTTCATTGAATGCAAAGATGGTTGAGACCTTAATATGCACGAAGAATTGGTTGCATAGCAGCAATGAACCTATAGTGCTTCGCCGAGATTTGGATGAGGCAGAATCATTGAATGACTCAGAGAAAGCAGTAGAAGGTGACATTTATTTTCTATTATCAATTTTGATATTTTTATTCATATTGTTTCTTAGTTGCTTGTTAATATCATTAATAAGGACTAATAAATAATTTGATATTTACGTATCATGCAGAGGCCGAATCATGTTCTACAACAAGGAGCAGTAATCCAATTTTTATCAAATGAGAGGTTAGTACTCTTGTACTTATTTTGATATTATTGCTCACAAAAGTTTGAGCGGAGTGCCTGTTGCTAGATCCTAACTTGATAATATGTTTTTCATTTATAGATCGAATTTTAGACAAATATGAATGTAATTTAACATTTAACGTTATTAGTTCATGTTTACATTTATATGTTAACTTGTTTTAAACATATTGTTATAATGTCGATAGAAAAACCGTGGATTTAAACCGAACGAACCGCAAATAATGGTGTGGTTTGAAAAATAAAATGATTTGATTTGGTTTGAAAAAATTCCAAACAGCATAAAATGGTTTGAGTTGAAAATAGAGCGCAAACCGCCCAAATTGAACCGTGTTCACCCCTAGGTCCAGTATCTGTTGGCAACATTTATTGGGGTCAACAGATTGACGTTGCCTGTAGGAAACCACACCATAACCACAAACAACCTTGTGGTGAAAGCTTGTTAAAGAAGAATATTTGGGCATCCCCCTTGAAAAATGATTTGTTCTTGAAAAAGAACAAGAGGAAGCCTCACGAATTAGCAAAAAACTGAAGGGTAAGACATAAGGAAAATGAGTTCAAACGAAGATACACCCCCAAGAGGGTAAGAGAAAATGCTAATGTGCCCCCTCAAGCAGCTACCCCAGCAGCTCGGCATAGACCCCACCACAACCACAGAAGATGTGGAATGTGTACGACGGCCCAACTGTCAAGAGAAATGGTCGCCATGGCAGCTAATATGAGGGACATTGCTAGCCAAAACATGGCTATGAGGGAACTTATAGCCCAAATACAGGGCCAGGGAGGTTTCCCTATTCCTCCATACACCCGTCAAGGGCACTACCAGCAAGAAGATGAAGTTCAAAGCTGTAAGGCTACCTCGTCGGACTATAGCCGAGGTAAAAGCTCATTTGAGAGGGAAGTAGAAGTTGACGTTTCCTCCAACTACGCTTCTGGCTGACCTACCGAGGTCCCTTTGAACCCTGATAACTTCCCACCTCCGTATGAGCAAGAGCAAAGACATAGGAGGTCACGCAGTGTATTCGACAGAATTACTGAACCGAGGGTCAAACAACAATAGCACGACGAGCCTTGGACAAGGCCACCGCCTCCACCTCCAATGCCTCAACAGTCAGAAGAAAGGCATGAAAATGCCCCTCATGTTGCTCCGCCTAGAAATAGGCACCAAAGGAGGTAGGAAGAGGCTGGGAACTATCCCAGAACCTCTAACCAAAAACCGAGGTATGAGGCTGAAGAAAATGATTCAAATGAGTAACAGAGGTCCTGTGACTTGGACGATGATGATGAAAACTTGCCATTCTCAAGGGAACTGAGGAGCGCCCAGGTCCCGAACTACTATGTTATACCAAAGATACCAAAGTATGATGAAAGAGGCGACCCAGAGAAGTACCTGAATGCTCACAAAATTCACATGAGCCCAAGGGGCGCCACCCTAGCTGTGAAATGCAGAGCTTTCCATTTAACACTTAGCAGAATAGCTTAAATTTGGTATAGTAGGTTACCACCTGGGAGCATAAGAAGTTGGCCCGAATTCAAGACGACCTTCTTTAAGAGGTTTACTGTGAGCAAAGAGGGAAAGGCCCCCATCCAACATCTCCAAGACATGAGACAGACACATGGGGAGTCTCTAAAGAGCTTCCTATCACGTTTCACCGATGAGATGATATATTGTGTGCATGTCACCGACCATGAGGCGTTATCTGCATTGAGAGGAGGTCTGAACATGAACACCCTGTTCTGGAGGGACGTGCAAAATCAAGATCCCACCACCTATGATACCCTACTCAAGATGATGAGACTGAAAATCATCAACAAAGAATTGATTGAGCATAGAAAGAGGGTGAATAGAGGCCTCTACCTCCTCAAAGGCAGTATGCTAGAGAGCCGACCTCCCACTTGATGGACTACCAAATGAACTAAGCTGGTAATGAGAGTTCTGGGCAAGTATTGGCCACCACCACTCTTAACACCGTCCCTACATTGGCATATGAGGATATCAACCTAGTCACCGACACCCAGCAGATAGGAACTTTACAAGAATCCCGTAGGGGTAGAGGCCGAGGCCAGGGTTCAGGACCTAGAAATAGGTTGAATCAAAACCCACTTGGATACTGTATATACCACCGGTCCTATGGACACGACACAGCAGATTGTCGAGATTATGCTCACCGCTCCCGACAGGAACCCCCTAGGGACAGAAATACATCGCCCCAGGCAAACAGGCCCCCGCCAATGTACAATAACCGACCTGGGTGTGAAGAGGCCGCTCTACGTCAAAGGGATGTCTCTCCGTAACGAAGAGAGCGTCATGCCGAGAGGCCCAGAGAAGGGCGCAAACCCTGAAGAAATCGACAAATGCAGGATGAGACCCCTATCTTGGAGGCCTATATGTAGGTGGTGAAACGCGGAACGCTAAAAAAAATTATGCCCGTGAGGTCAAGCTCCCCCCGCTTACAAGCTATGTTGTGGGCCACAGCTCCCGCAGGGATCAAGTTCCAACTATCGCCTTCACTCAGGAGGACACCGAAGGGGTTCACTACCCCCATTGCGATGCACTCGTGGTAAGAGCAGTTATAGCCCGGAATGGGCTCAAACGAATGTTAGTTGACAATGGTAGCTCCATCAACATTCTATTCAGATCCACCTTTGACAAGATGATACTGGACCATGTGTTAACATCTACCACCACTCCTTTATACAGATTTACCGGAGATAACATCACTCTGAGAGGAAAAATCACACTCGCAGTAGAGATGGGTGAGTCTCCCCAAACCACAATGAACTTCATGGAATTTCTTGTTGTCAACAGTCGATCGGCTTATCACGGAGTATTGGGTAGGCCAGCCCTAAAAGAATTGAAAGCCGTCACCTCCATCCACCACCTATACATAAAATTCCCAACTGAAAATGGGATGGCAACGGTGAGATGCGACCAAAGAGGCTCAAGAGAATGTTATCTAAACTCCATCAGAAAAGTAGAGCCCTGGGATGTCCACGTAATTATTGCCGACATAGTCATGGCTGATGCCCCATGTGATGCTCCCACCGAACCGGAAGATGTAGAAATGATTGACGTACCATCCAATCCGGAAGTATTGGTCACCATGAGGTTGATCCCTCATAATCGAACACGAACATCAAGCATCCCCAGTTGAGGAACTTGCGAGCTTCTCGGTGGACCCCCGAGACCCATCCAAATTATTGAAGGTGGGCAAGGACTTATCCAGCACTGTGAAAGAAAAGCTCAAGAATTTTCTAAGTAGGAACCTCGATATCTTTGCTTGGAGGCATGAGAATATGGTAGGCATAGACCCTAAGGTCAATTGCTACCACCTGAAAATTGATCCTAAGGTTGCCCCGCATAGACAAAAAAGGAGAGCCCTCAATCTTGAGAGGTACGAGGCCCTGAAGGAAGAAGTTCAGAAGCTCATCTAGAATGGCTTCATCAGGGAGGCCACCTACCCGAGGTGGGTCTCCAATCCAGTTTTGGTGAAGAAACACAATGGCAAGTGGAGAGTATGCATCGATTTCATTAACCTCAACAGAGCTTGCCCGAAGGATAGCTTTCCACTTCCAAGGATTGACCAACTGGTAGACTCCACGGATGGGCACGAGCTATTGAGCTTCATGGACGCATACTCTGGCTACAATCAAATCCCCATGCATCCGATCGATGAGGAACACACATCTTTCATCACAGACTGAGGCCTTTACTGCTACAAGATGATGCCCTTCGGGTTGAAAAACGTCGGAGCAACATATCAAAGAATCCTCGACAAATGTTTGTGGACCTCGTCGGCAAGACAATGGAAGTCTATGTAGATGACATGCTAGTAAAGAGTTTGGAAGCTGGAGACCACATAACGCACCTTAATACCACCTTCCAAATCTTGAGAAGATATAGGATGAAGCTCAACCCCCTCAAGTGCGCCTTCGGAGTGGCCTCTGGCAAATTCTTAGGATACATGGTCAACTAATGTGGTATTGAAGCCAACCCTGAGAAGATTGAGGTCCTATGCAAGATAACGTCCCCCCAAAATCTAAAGGAGGTGCAAAGTTTAACTGGACGAGTGGCCGCGCTCAGCCGCTTCGTCTCCAAAGCTACGGACAAATGCCTCCCATTTTTCAAAGTGGTAAAAGTTGAGAAGCTAATGGAATGAAGAATGTGAAGAGGTCTTCCAGGGCCTGAAAAGGCACTTGGGGCAAGCCCATTCCTCTCCAAATCAAAGTCCAGTGAAATCCTACAACTGTATCTAGCCATCTCCAATGAGGCCATCAGTGCGATTCTAATTCGAGAAGAGGGAACCACCGAACTCCCCATTTACTATACAAGTAAAGCACTCCTATCGTCGGAAACCCGCTAGCCCGATATGGAAAAGGTCGCTTTGGCCTTGATCATGACCTCCAAGAAGTTGAGACTCTATTTCCAAGCCCACACCATCCATATGCTGACAAACTTTTCCCTAAGGTAGGTACTCCAAAAGTCCAATGCCTCAAGAAGATTATTGAAATGGGCGGTAGAGCTAAGTGAGTTTGACCTCATGTTCAAGGCTAGGGCAGCCATCAAGGGTCAAGCCTTAGCTGACTTCGTGGCAGAATTCACCAACTTACCCGAGGTAGATGAAATTATGGAACAAGCCGAGCCCCCTACGTGGAACCTATTCGTTGATGGGTTGACTGGGGATGCCGGCTCAGGTGCCGGAGTTGTCCTCATCAGCCCGGAAGGTCACACGTTGAACTCGGCGGTGAGGTTTGAGTTCAAGGCCACCAACAATGTAGCAGAATATGAGGCACTTCTCATAGGCCTCAGGCTAGCCAAAGAAATACAAGTAAAGAGGCTACTCATCAGTAGCGACTCCCAGCTGGTCGTTGGCCAGGTCAACGATAACTTCTCAGCCAGGGACAAAATAATGGCCTCCTACTTGAAAATGGTGATAAACTTCATCCCATCCTTTGAAAAGTTTGAGTTGATCCAGATCCCCCGCATCGAAAACGCACATGCGGATGCACTCTCCAAACTTGTAAGGATTCCGAATTACTCATAGTGGTCTCAATAGAGCACCTCTTTATGTCATCAACCAAGGCCCCCAATGTGATATGGGTCACTGGGACTTCTACCTAGATGCAGCCCATCGTGGCATACCTCAAAGAAGAGGCTACCTACATCTTAAGAGAAGCCCATGAGGGTATGTGCGGCAACCACTCTGGAGGTTTATCTTTAGCACAAAAATTACTGAGGTAGTGGTACTACTGGCCTACCCTGAAGAGGGACGCCGTCAAGTTTGTACGAAAATGTGACAAATGCCAATGATTCTCTCTTGTCCAAAGACAACCATCGCAAGATTTGACCACGGTCTCCAGCCCTTGGCCTTTCTCGAAATGGGATGTTGACCTCATAGGTACTCTACCAAAAGGTAGAGGAGGTGCGAGCTTCGCAATTGTGACAATTGATTACTTCACGAAGTGGGTTGAAGTTGAACCCCTGGCAAAAATTACAGAAGCCAACATTTCCAAGTTCTTGTGGAAGAATAT